GCGCCATGCAGTCTGATATTTTCTCTTTCATTCCAGCCTATTCTATTTTGTTCTTTAAAGTGCTGGTTGCAGTCCCCTAAGTGTATTGCACTGGACACTAATTAGAGTTATGACCCACAGTTGGAAAACAATATCTTCAGAGGGAAGATGAAAGAGCAGTCCTAAAGGAGCAGGGCTGCAAGAGAGTCTTCTCCAAAAAAGCAGGAAGAAGTTCAGTTACACAAAAAAAGTAGAAGAAAATTTGCAAGATTAAGATATAATAGCTGCTCTGGCCAGTGTGGCTCCATCGTTAGAGCACCAGCCCAAACACAGAGGCTCATGGGTTTGATTCCTGGAAAGGGCACATACCTGGGTTGCAGGTTTGATCCCCGGCCGGGTCCAGGCACGGGTGGGGGGGGGGCAACCAATAGCTGTGTCTCTCTCATTTATGTTTCTCTCTCTCTCTCCCGCTTCCTCCCTCCCTCTCTTCCTCTCTCTAAAAATCAATGGGAAAAAATATCCTCAGGTGGATTAACACAACAAAAAAGATATAATAGCAGAACCCTGGCCAGCGTGGCTCCGTGAGTTGGGGCATCGTCCGGGACACTGAAAGGCTGAGGTTCGATGCCGGTTAGGGCACATGCGGGAAGGTTTCGGGTTCAGTTCCTGGTCTGAGCGAGTGTGGGAGGCGACCGACCAATTGATGTTTCTCTCACGCATCAATGTTTCTCTCTCTCTTCCTTCCACTCTCTCCAAAAAACAATGGAAAAAATATCCTTGTATAAGGATTTAAAAAAAAAAAAAAAAGATATAATAGCAGAAGTACACCTGCAATAGCATCTCACCTATACAGAATTTTTGACCAAAATGTTTAACCCAAATCTAAGCATGCAGGCACAGTCAGACAAGTCCTGACTGTGGAACATTCTACAAGACTGGAAGTCTTCAAATTTTTTATTTTCATAAAAGACAAGAAAAGGTGAAAGATTGTTCTAGATTAAGGGATTCCAAAGAGATATGACAACTAAGTATAACATGTGATCCTTAATTGCATTCTGGCTGGAGAAAGAAAAAAACCGCCACAGAGTACATTGTAAGGACAGTGAGGGATATTTGAATATGACCTTATAGCAGATGATACTGCCGGGTCAGGTTAAGTATCTTGGGTGTGATAACGGTATTGTGTTATGTGAGACAAGGCCCTTGATCTTGGAGGTACATACTGAAGTATTTAGGGGAGAAAAGTCATAATGTTTGAAATTTACTTCACATGGTTCAGAAAAGAGAATATGTGTATAAAAAAAGAAAGAAAACGTAAAGGAATATTAACAGTAAATCTAGGAGAAAACTATGTAAGTAGATCTTCATTGTTCTATTTGTTCAACTTATTTTTTTAATATACCTTTATTGTTGAAAACCTTACAGATGTCCTCTTTTTTTGCCCCATTTACCCCCTCCAGCCAACTGATGTTTCTTTCTCTCCCTTCCTCTCTCTCTAAAACATCAATAAAATCATATATGAAGAAAGAACCATTCGTTTCATATACACAAACTAGCAAGGCTGCATTACTCAAGGAATTTTAAATTCATTTTAGTGCGGTTAACCAGGCTCCTACAAGTAGGACTTGTTGGAGAGATTCGGTCTGACATAAGGAATGAGGGGAAAGTGAGGAGTTTCAGATTGTGCTCTAAAGAAGAAAGGCCTCTCAGTGGAGTATGGAGACATAAGTGTAAACATTAAGTAAGTCATGATTGAGGTTTCTACTCTAGAATCTGATGTCAGTTCACTCAGGTTGGAAGTCTAGCTCCATCAATTCATGCTTCTAAATGCGTAACCTTTGGCAGGTGGCTTAGCCTCCCTCGGCCTCAGTTTTCTTCCTGACTGGGAGAAAAGTGGATAACAAAGTACTCATCTCATAGGATTGTTGTGGGAATTAAATGAAATAATCCACGCAAAGCACTTAAAACAGCGCCTGGCACACTGTAATAATAGCTAGTGTCACCCTGATTCCAGCAGCTGCTGGAAACACCTCTAGTCTGGTTTGAAGTGGAAAGGGTGCCTCAAACCCTGAGCAGCAGTGTCCAGGGAGTTTTACCAGCGCTTGGGCTAGAGAGAGCCTAGTGCTTGAACAAAGCAGCTTTCTTTTCTTTTTTTTAATCACAGTTTATATTCAATATTATTTTGTATTAGTTTCAAGTGTACAGCATAGTGGTTAGACAGTGTTCCCCTGATATTTCCAGTACCCACCTAGCACCATACATAACTATTACAATATTATTGACTATATTTCCTATGCTGTACTTTACATCCCCGTGACTACTTTGTAAGTACCAGTCTGTACTTCTTAATCCCTTCACCTTGTTCACCTAGTCCCCCAGCCCTCTGGCAACCATCAGTCTGTTCCTTGTATCTATGAGTTGGTTTCTGTTTCATTTGTTCGTTTATATTGTTCGTTAGATTCCACAAATAAGTGAAATCATATGGTATTTGCCTTTTTCTGACTAACTTACTTCACTTAGCATAATACCCTCCAGGTCCATCCAGAAAGCAGCTTTCTTAAAAGGACTATAGGTTGACGCAAGCTTCCCCCTGCCTCCGAACCAGAGTTCTCCTGCCATCTAGTGCCCAATGGCAGCAAATGCCTAAATTTCAATGTCAGGGCACCTTTCCTTGTGCCCCCTCACTCATCAGTCTCCTTTTCTACTCCAGGATCCAAGTCAGCAGAATCACTTGGCTTCCCCAAACTTCAAGCTATTTCACATTGTTTTGTTCACAGCAGCTCCCCGCGCCTGGCATGGCATTCTCGTCACCTCTTGTGTGCCAGGCAAGCCTCTAAGAAAGCTTTCCTAAGGCAGCAATTCCACTTCAAAATATCCTTCTTGCCAGCCTGGACCACCCCCTAGAGCACATCTCTTCCACCATTGCCTGTGTCTGCCCTCTTCACCTTCACTAATGCTCCCCTATGCACCCTTACCCCTACCTAGCACAGTGCCTCATGTCTAGCAAGGGCCCAATATGTGTTCAATAAGCATAGGATAGTAAAGTTGGGGTGGAAGGTGAGGCATTCCAGATGGAACTGTTCCAGGAGCTCAGAAGCTGCTTGCTGTTGCTGGAACATAAATGCTCTACCTGTAGCCTCTGCATTGCCTTTGAGGCTAATATTTTATAAATGCATAAACATACATCTACCAACAATCCAACAATTCCACTTCAAGATATTTACCCAACAGTAATGGAAATCCATGTCTACAAAAGACTTGCTCAAGAATGTTCATAGTCACCGCTTTATTCTTAACAGCTAATAGCTGGAAAATGTCAGCAGGGGAATGGAAAAACAAATTGTGCTATGTCCCTTTAGACAACAAACAGGAATCAACGACAGGGCTGGATCTCAAAAGCTTATGCTAGTGAAGAAATCAGACACAAAAAAAGTACGTACTGACATATATGTGGGGAGGGGTAAAGTAGGTTTACAGTTGTGAGTACTCAAAACACAGCTTATTCTTGCATTATATTTATTAATGATTGTGTTATTTTCCATACAAACAACTACAAACCTACTCTTGCCCACCCCTATATATAAAATTCTAGAAAGGGAAACTGTAACCTGTAGAGACAGAAAGTAGGTCAGCGGTTACCTGGGGTAAGGAGGTGAAGGAATGGGGGAGCAAGGACAGAGACTGGGAAAGAGCAGGTTTGTCAGATTCACCAAGCTGTGCCTAAGAGCGGAGCATTTTTCTGCACGTTAATTATACATATCAGGTATGTGTTAAGAGTTAGAAGGAAGAGCAGGGAGGCGCTCCCCCGGCAGCTGTGCGGAGATCGGGGGAATGAGCCCCTCGCTGCGGGGGGCGGCTGGATCGGGGTGCTCACCGCAGACTCCGAGCGGCTGCGCAGGGCCGCGGGGAGCCGGAGGGGGGCCGAGCGGGAGGCGGAGAGGGGCCGGCGTGCAGTTGCTCCTCTCGGGCGCCAGGGGGCGCCGTGCGCG